CTGTGCAGACATCCCCACTGAAGCAACTAAAGTGGCCAAGTGGGAGAAAGAGGAAGAAAGCAAAAATAAATTTCATTTCTAAGCAGCTTTGTAATTTTGACAAAACACCTATTTGGCAACAACATCAGATCACAGGTGGAAATTTTTCACAGAGCGGGTGGTGAGGCACTGGAATAGGTTGCTCAAGTTGTAGATGCCCCATCTCTGGAGGCCTTCAAGGCCAGGCTGGATGGGGCCCTGGGCAGCCTGCTCCAGTGGAAGGGGTTGCCCATGGCAGGGGGGTTGGAACTAGATGATCTCTACAGTCCTTTCCAGCCCAAACCATTCTATGATTCTATGATTCTAATTTCAAAATCTGCTATGTGAAAATACTCATTTAAGCTGATTCATCATGAGTTTGTTGATCTGCCTCTGTACGAAGAACAGTGAATAATTATACACTATTCTCTGTACCACTTGTGATTTTAGAGGCCACTACTGTACTCATCCTCAGTTTTCTCTCCTATAGACTGAAGACTAATTCTACTCTACAGATTTGCTCCTCAAACAAAAGATACTTACATCTTTAAGTTGCCTTTCTCTGTAATTCGGGAAGAGACCTTTTAGTAAGCCCTATGTAAATCCAAATGGACTACCTGAATCACCTTGTCCCCGTATTCACCAACTCCTGTGAAGAACATGAAAGTGATTTACATCTAAAATAGACAAATTGATGCATCATTTTTATATCATACCTGTTCACAACTCTATTTATAGAGCCTTTTTTCATGGGGGAAAAAAACCCCTCCAAAACCCCAATAAACCAGACCCCAAAATCCATCACCTGTAATTCAGGTGGAGACAGTTTTAAGCAAAATGTTCAAGCCACAGATGCTAGTTATAGTTTCAAATATGAATTCCTTCAGGACTCCCACAAGACTACTGTCTGACCTTTGTATTTATTCTAACCAACTTGTCCAAAAAGGTTTTCATTCACATTTTCTCTGCAGCAAGTGTTCAAGACAGGAACCTTCCTTCCTTCATGATGAACGTGGATGTGAAGAATCAATATTTTAAATCCAACTGAAATCCACATTTTTATACCATTTCAAAATAATTTGCCTTTTTTTGTTCTATTAAATTGCTGTAGACACATTTATTTTAGCAATCTTGTGATGTTGGTGATATACTCCAGTGTCAATCAAGTACCAACTAAAAATAAATCCTTCTCAGAATGTAGGAATAAGACCAAGGACTTATCAAAGCAAGTTACCTTACCAAACACCCTAACTTACTCTACAACTAATTTTTTTTAAGGTTATTTCAGGATTTTTTATTTGTACTTTTTTTCTTTTTGGAATAATAAAATATGTTGGCATGCCCAGCAACCAAACATTAGGTCAGATAACTGTATCACTGGCAAAACCAAACTACACAAGCTCCTGGTGTGAAATTACAGGCAAAAGCTTAGTCCAAATTAGCTTCTCCTTTTCCACCATGACAAAACTTTGCAGATAAAGGTAGTTACATTTTCCATTTCACAGTATCACTTTAATAGTCTGATTTGTTTTAAATTATCCATCAAACTACAAGGTTAAGGAATACCCTGCTAGAAATCTGAAACTGTGCTTGTAGTTTCCTGAAAGTCTTTAGGTTCCATTACATCATGATTTTGAGAGTTGCAGGGCCTTTGTTATAATAAAAAAATTGTTCATTGGAATTATGAATGCTGCCAATCTTCAAAATAACTTATCCTGCAAATGTCCTTTTGTAACAACAGAACTATGAAAAATACATTGAAGTATTTGCAGGTATGCAACCACATTTTGTAGGGAGACCTATACTGCAAAGTAGATACTGTTATCTGTGGTAAACAAGAGAACAGGGAGCACCACTATTTCAGTTCGGCTTAGGTAAAAGAAATGCCATAAAATGTAAAGATTAGGGCCATTCTGAACATCCAGAAGACAGCTAACCAGAACTGGTTTGGGTTTTATTTTTTGTGGCTCATCACTGAATTGATATAAACAGGCACACACTTAACAGAACAGAATTCATTGCTAGGAACTTGGGGAAAAAGTGGCAGGAAGGGGGAAATGCAAATGTGGGGTAAAAGTAAAAAAAAGGGGGGGGGGGGGAGGTTATTAGGTAAGT